ATGGCCAAGCTCCATCTGATATCAGAGATCTGATTGTTCCTTATGTTCCTAACAGAGCACTTCGCTCTCAATCTTCAATTTTTAAAAGTAGAATGGGAGGCAGATCTTTTAGTTATCAGGCTCCTCTCCTGTGGAACCAACTACTAGTTTTAGTCCGTGAGGCAGACACCCTGTCTACTTTTAAGGCAAGGTTAAAAAGTTCCTTCTTAATAAAGGTTATAGTTAAAAACATAGATGTATGCTTAGTCGCTGGGCGGGTAGAGAGGTGGGTTGACGTAGAGCATTAAGAGCCTGATCGAGCTCGGGAGAATTTAAGTCCTGACAGACATTTCTCCTTAACTCTACCTTGGCTCTACCTTTCTTATACCTCGTGCAAGATAGTTAGGTTATCCTGAGCTATTTTCTAGCAGTCTATATTTAGACTGCTGGAGGACATAGGGACTCCTTTTCAGCATTCTATCTCTATTCTCCCATTCTGCAGTATTTATCAGTTTAACCTCTAACATTATGCCCTCTCTGCGTTTCTTATAGTAGCTTTGCCTCGTCTGTTCCTGTTTGGCTGTGACTCCATCCTGGAGAGAAATATCAGCCGTGCTGCTGCCATCAACACCTTTGTTTATACATGTTGGAGCTAGACCTGATTTTTAGTGTAGTCCTTTTTCTCTAACTGTGACAAACTGGATGTGCCGTTTCATCCTCTGACATGGAAGCTCTTCTGCCTGGCTGTGTTAATCCTGGACAGGGCCGCCTGTAGAGCTAGTTAACAGTTACCTTTTGTATCTCTGCTTGATTTTGTTTGCTTCTGTCTCTTTGAAGCCCAGTCAGCCTTGGCAGAAGAAATTTCTGGATTTTTTTTTGGTAACCTTTTGATCTATTCTAATGTCTTGCGATTGGGTTAGATCTGTAAAAGTTCCTTCCTAATGTTCATTGTATGACTTTATATCAATATTTACCTGCAGCAATGAAGTATATTTTATTTAAATATTCTGATCCTGATCTGAATGGACCACATTTAATATCTATATTTTCTCTTCTCATCCATTCACCTCTTATAAGTCAGCTTAGTTTAAAAATATTTGTAATTAACTGCAGTTGTAGATTTGAGAGAAACAGTCATGTGTAAAAAAACAAAACAACCAAAAACAAACTGCTGCAGACATCCTGGATGGAACTTACCCGCTCATGAAGAAAAGGTTAAAATACAAAATGGGGTGAGAAACTACTTTATTGCATAAGGTAGAGAAAAACAGAGCTGTTTGTATTGTATTACAGAGCTGAGAAAATACAGAACTCACCGACGATCGGGCAATGGGTCTCCTATGATCCTGAAAACAGAGAGTTCAGATACTTAAAAAAAGGCAGTATAAATGACTCTCTGAATAAAAGCGTTGTAACCTTTTAAAAGTTGGAGGGACAGAAACCGTCTTAACAGTCTAAACACATGTGTTTACCTTAGATGTTAATCTGCAAGCCTGAAAACAAAGTTTAGATCCTTTGAAAAAGATGCCGTCATGAGATCTTTGGAGCGCATCCTTCAGCTCATTTTTATGCTGCATGAAAGCAAAAGCCTAAAAGGAAACAAGGAGAACTTATCAAATCTTGTGTGATACATGCATCAAATCCACTTAACTAGGGGGAAAAAAAGAAGTAATATAAAGATTTGCACAAAGATATTTACCATTTGTTTCTGAGGAATCACAAAAATGTCACAGCTGTTTTTAAACCCAAAAGGACGGAGGAGGTCGACTAGGTCCTCCTCTTTATAACAGCCATCAGAATACTTGGGAAGGTTGGTTATCAGCAGCTCCTTTGTCTTTAAAAGTGACAGAATAAAAAAAGAACTCATGTTAGCAAAGAGAACATTCATGTAAGACCACTTTGATAAGGACACAGATCAAACCTAAGCATTGGCAGATGGGGGTTGTTTGTGAGCATGAAGTTTCTTAGATTAAAAAATGTGTTGTTTAAGCCAGGTTTCTGCTAAGGTACCCCAATCAGTTTAAACATCCCCTAACATTCACAGACTACTTCAATTTTGATTAACTACTGTCTTCAGTCATAGAAATACACATGTTACTTAATGACTGTCCAGGGTAAAGCAAACCAAAGCAGGTTTAGGGAACTCTACCTTAGAAATGTAACCATTGGCTGCAGGTTTCAATTCAAATAAGGTTTTATCAAAGCCTGGGAGAAAACCTTGGGAGCCATGATTTTTGTACAGTGCATCCCATTCATTGTGCTTTTATGAACCACATCCTTTATGTGTACAGTTGGATCCTACTACTCCTACCATGAGTTTGTTCCAAAATCTGGGGATATTGCATGTGTTTTGATCAATGTTAGAAAGGCTTTTATGTTATTTTGATATGATCTCAAAGATTGTCCAATGGAGCTTTCCTAACTTTAATTTTTCCCAGTTTTTTCATTTTCAATTGTAATCACGCTAAACATATCTAAGGTAGGTAAGATATACTCAGCCTAAGATATTGATCTGGGTTCTTTGTGATCTCCAAGATGCATTGTCGAATCCCCCTTGGAGCATTTTTTTGCTCCTCTAGCAACTAAGGGCCCTGTCACACCTTGCTGATTTAGACAGCGTATGCCTGACGTCCAAGAATCTTCTAAAACGCTGGCATACGCTAAACTTTCTAAATTTGGAATATACATAAAGTATTCGTAATGAGTCCAGAACTTATGTCCAACGACAGCCTAACTTATGCATAACGGATGGCAGCGTAATGCCCATAAAATGATGCACAAGCCAGTGTTCTGAGGGGGGCAGCAATGCGCCTGGAGGTGCCCCGCCTGCAAAAATAGATTTCTTTGATTGTGGTATTAACCTAGCTGCTGATTACCGTCCGCCAAAAAAAAAGAAAAAAGAAAAGGAAATAAAGAAGGTTTGCAGTTGCAGGAGAATCAGCGTCATGTCTGCTAGGAAGTTTGTTGGCCATGGGCGTGAACGCAGGGAGGATTCATTACACTTACCTTCTCACTCACCCTATAATGGGATGAAGTCTGGAGGAGTACTGACGGTTTCCTCCAGTGACCCCCCTTTTATACCAAAATGCTGCCAATATGCCATTAAATGTAGCTAGAACATTAGAAAGGCGTTCAGTATGTTGATATGCATTGGAAATAAGTTATTGATAAGTTATGCATAAGTTGTGCACAAGTTACTCATAGGTTTTGGTCTGTAACTTATGGCCCATGTATGGCAAATGGTAAATGGCATGTACTTAGAGCCTTTTTTCAAGACTTGACCAAAGCGCTTTACACTACATTCATTCACCCATTCACGCACACACTCACATACTGATGGTGGTAAGCTACATTGTAGCCACAGCTGCCCTGGGGCTCACTGACAGAAGCGGGGCTGCCATACACTGGCGCCACCGGGCCCTCTGACCACCATCAGTAGACAATGCAGATGAAGTGTCTTGCCCAAGGACACAACGACAATTAAAGTCAGAGCCAGGGCTTGAACCTCCTTCGATTTCAGGGCAAACTCCTACATCCAACGCCACTGTTGCCCCCAAATGCTAGCATACGTTGGGTTCTTGACGTACCTGCCATATGTTGACCTGGACCAGCGTGTTTCAGCGTGCTCATAACTTATAGAAAACGTAGCCATAACTTATCCAACGTATGCCAGCGATTTGGCCAGATTTTCTGTACGTCAGGCATACGCTGGTATAAATCGTCAAGGTGTGACAGGGGCTTTAGTTTCAAAAGCCTTAAAACAGCTTTTAACGTTTTCCTACAGATAACAATGATTGTATCGCTTCTGTATTTACATTTTTTTTTCACTGACCAGCTGTCTCATTGTTTACACAGTTACACACTATTCACCTGAACTTTCACTGAGTTTTCTATATTTATGCTTTTATAGCCTTAGATTGCTAGAGGACATAGGGACCACTTTTTATAATTCTGCTTCATTCTCTTTCTATTCTCCCATTCTGAAGTATTAGTTATTTCCATCCATAACTTTGTGTTCTCTCTTCTTTTTCCTCTCAACTCTCGCTGCATGCATTCTCGGTGTCTGGGATTATTGAAGAGTCAATTACAAATTTTAATGGAAAATCATCGCCACAAGCTCATACAGGAGGAGCATGTCTTGCAAGTCAATGTATTGATGTGGTTAATCGGTTTTTCTTGATTGGAACTTTTACCCAATCTGACTGTACTGTCTCTGTAAAGTGCCTTGAGATGACAGGGGTCGTGAATTGGAGCTATATAAATAAACTGATCTGAATTACATTTTGACAGGCACAGGTGTGCCTCCTTCGTTATGCCTCACCAATTTAAAACACCAATAAAATTATATCACAAAAGAAGAGAAGAACACACAATTACATTTTAACTGCAGCTTTCCTGTTAATAATGCAGCAAAAATACAAATTTATAAACTTCACATTTAAATAGTATGATTAGCTTTATGAAAAAAAATAGAAAAGTGCTTACATCTGGCTGTGATAAGAAATCCTTAAATTCAAGAGGACCTGGTGAGGAGTCAAAGAAATAGAAAATTGAAGAACAAAAACTTTTTTTATCATTACTAGTAGAACTGTACTATTTACATACAGAGGTCTTTGGGATCCAAGTATTTTTCTATCTGCTCTCCTGGAGTCTGGTCACATGTAGCCAATGTTGCTGTCGGCTTTTTGTTTGGTGCAGTAGCTGCTGCAGATTTGTTCACAGGAGCTTTAAAAAGATAAGGTGTTAAAGTGTAAATAGATAATATCACATCCACATCTAGTTTACATTAAACACGACAAAAAGAAAAAAACATCAGGGTATAATTTGGTCTATTTTAGGGTAATTGTGACGATTTTGTACAAATGGTCCAATGAAGTAATTGCCATTTTAAAAGCAGAAAGTTTTACTTCTCATTCCTCATTTAGAGCAGATAAAGAGTTTTAGAAAAATATTCAAGCTGAAAAACTGTACAATAAACCATTTATTCCTTTCTAACCACTGAAAAGTCTCCCACTTACATTTCAGCTGAGTTTTCTCCTTTGGTTTCTGCTTTTTCTCCAACGCTTCAGCCTTTTTTTTAACAACCGACTTGTCCAACGGCTCAGACTCTCTGCGAGGAACCAGAGAAATTTGGTCACGGCAGCGATAAACTCTGCTTCTTAAACATTATCCAATATAATTAATATTATACAGGTTCATTAATCATTAATAATATAGCAATAACATAAAGCGGGTAGAATAATTAAAACTCTCAATGACATAATAGCAAGACAAAGCTTACATTTCAGGAGACTTTTTCTGCTCATTTAAAGTCGACGGAGGCTTCTTGGGAACAGAAGACTGTTGATAAAAAAAATATTGCAAATTAACTTTGCAGTTAATAATCTAATTCATCAAAAGGTAATAAATGGCTGATAACAAAGGCAGAGATCCTCTGGGTAATGTGGCCTTAATTCACATCTTTTTCAACATTAATTTTTTCACTTGGAAGAAGAATGATGCTGCTATAGCATGACTGATGTTGGTTATTTTTTCCTATTCAACCCAACTCTTTTATTATGAATCTTAACTCTTTTAATGGTGTTGTATTTTATCATTTTCATTCTATATACATTGTTTCTATATGTTTAGCTTTATTAACACAATGTAACGTTTTTTGTTTTTCTCATTGTACTTTTATTTACAATACTTTACTTCAGTTTAGTTGTTGTTAAAGCACTTTATAATTAAAGTTGATGATGAATGTCGTTATATCTCCGTGCTAAGTCTGTCTTTAATCACTCTATGTCTGTTTTTTTTTGCTGTCTCCGTTTCCTTGCTTGAGGTTTTGGGGTTCAGAAGTGAAAGCCCTTGAAAACGGAATCGTTCCGTATTTAGAAATAGAAGTACCTGTCCTGTATTTAGTGGAAAAGGAACACACTCATTACTGTGAGAATAAAAAAATAGTATAAAGCTAATGGAAAATGAAGAACAAGGGCACATTAGATACAAAACTTACGGTAAACTTGTTCCCAGGCCCTGTCCTTTGTTGATATACATATATGCAACAACCCAGAATACCCTCATCCCATTGGTCGAGCCAATTGTTGCTCATGGAGAAGATAGCAGGAGACAAGAGAGCAGCACTCAAAGACAAACAACTCACTGCTGCAAGAGCTGAGAGGAAAAACAAGTGGAAGAAATAATGTAGCATTTAGCTAATGATTCTTTCTGTTTTACAACTGTAGCCTACTGTCATTGCATTAAAGGCACAAATATGTTTACAAGTTTGCACAAGTTTGCTTTTGCAACAAAAATGTGCACTATTTATTTACTGTTTTATATTCATTTTTACAGTTTGAAGTTGAGCAGGACAGGCTTAAGTTTAAGATACTTAACAAAGTTTTGTTATTTTATATTAAAGTGAATTGTTGGATAGTAATTTGTTTTCCGTGTATTTATGTCACTCACAAATATGCATCTAATTCAATGCATTTTCAAATTTCCCAGATAAAGGGGGAAAAAAAGCAATCGGGTCACCTGGCACGCACATGAGGTGTCCCTTTTTTTTTTCAGGGAGTTGGCAACCCTAGCCACAGCATAGAAATTAAGGAAAGAAAGTCCTGCTTGAAGTTTCCCACAAGCCATGCAGTGAGGCGCAGCAACTACACGGGAGGAAAATGGTCAGACTAGACGTAAATCTGAAAGATCTAAGTTTGGATGAATATCTAACTCTGCAGATGACCCTCAACTATCCATCCCCTGGTGAAACATGGTGGCAGCAGTATAGCGTTCATCAACAGAGAGCAGAAAGTGAGACAAGGCTGAAGGGGACATGGATGAGATAAATACAAGGCAGTCCTGAAACCGGATGAATAGGTGTACACATGATGCAAAATGCTGGGGGTCAGAAGGGGCCCCTGTGGTGTCTGAAAATGGGGAATCTTAGTTTGAAGTAATCAGACCTTTAGCTTTGCGGAGGAACCAGCTGCGCTTTTTGTTTTCGCTCCATCCGCCCCATCTTTAGGCGATGACGACCCGGGTGTGGACTTCAGCTTGTCGATCTCTGCGAGGAAGACAGGGGCCAGAGTTTTGACGAAGCTCTCCACATCTATCTGGTCCGACAAAGTCTGGACGGCTAGAGTGAAAAAAAAACACAAAAATATGAATCAACAATATTCACCGTAACACATAGGGCTATCTAAGCTCATTCCTAGTTTGGTCCAACCTGATGATTCCAGCACTTTCTTGGCCAGTTTCTCCACGTTGCTCGACCCCTCATCCTGAGGGGCCGATGTCTCTGACGACTCTCGTCTCTCACGGCTTCTTCTCGATGACCTCCATTTTTCGCTCCTTCTTGGCGACGGATCTCTCTGGTAAGGCCGTCTTTGAAGGCGTTGCTCCATAACTCTTCTAAAGGATAAATAACGTCTTCCTGGGCTTCTTGAGCGATGGTAAGAGGAGGTGGGCCTGTCACAGCGTGGAGACCGAGACCTAGACCTAACAGAGCAACAAGTGAGCTGGGTTTGTTTTTTTTCTAGAGGTTAAAGCCATCCAAACTTGAATATGATGCCCCAGATGTAATTATAAACCAACAGTTGAAAGAGTTCCCCATCTACCTTCGCTTTAACAGACCTGTGAGTATTTCTATAGCTGCGAGGTGATCTGGACCGGCTCCTACGTCTGTCTTTTCTGTCCTCAGAGCTCTGACTTTGCGACGAGCTGTCTGAGCTGGAAGATGACCGACTCCTTGATTTAACCCGTTTCAACCCACGATACGAGGCTGGGGTGTATGAGCCAGAACAGGAGCTTTTACGGCGATACCCAGGGCTTCTGGAGCGGGAACGGGAGCTGCCTTTGGATTTGTCCCTTTGACCCACAGACCTGCGGCGGGGGGGGCGGGGGCTGCGGGAGCGAGAACTACTCTCCTCTTTGCTTCTCTTATCATGGCGCTCAACTTTTCTGTTTAAACACATAAAAATATATTTAAAAAACACATTAAAGATAAAGATAAAGGTCTTTTCGGCGTCTTTTCACCTGGGAAACGATGCTTCTTTAGAACCCCAGTCCACATATCTATGGAAGACAAAGCACATGCATCCAGTTAAAAGCAGACGCCTTTCTTTCCCTACATTCTAACATCAACTTCCACTTAACTTTAATTAAATTACTAAGAATCCTAATGTTGGAAACCCTGAAAATTATCTAACTACTTTCTGAGGCCCTAAAAATAAAATTATGATGTATGTTCAGTTCATAAGATAGAATTCACAAACTGTTTCACATAAATAAATGGAATATAGAAAAAATAAAAATGATCTAGTTATGTAATAGCTTGTTTAAATTTCATTTTATTTAGTTATTTATGGTTAAAAAAAACAAAGATTTAATATTTATATGTGCATAGAGAAGCAGAAAACCCATTCAGGCTTATTTTAAAGGCTCCACCTTAAAATTACAATCAAAAATTTAAATCAATATAAATATCAATACAAATACAAACATTTAGACCTTTTTCTAAATTTCGGTTAAGTCAAAGGAACTTTAATTTCTTCAAGGATTATAATAAAGTATTACTTTAAGCCAGATGTGCAAATATTTTTCCTACTTTGCAGCCTCTGTATCAATATATATAATAATTTGTTTGCTTTTGGTTTAACATAAAAGTTTTCAGGTATGGAACTAACACAAAAATACACATTAGTAAAACGTTGAAATCTTAAATAAATAAGAATCCTAAGTTTGTAAAATAAACCAGCTAATGATGTCAAAGTCTTTGAATGAGCTATAAGTCAAACAAAACGCTTTAAAAGGGTTAATATTTTATTCACCTAAACTATATTGCAATATGATAAGCAAGGTTAAATTTGTTATAGAAAAAAAGATGGGAACCAGATGATCATAACAGCTGGATGCTCTGCCCTGTTCCGCTCTAGATAAGGTTTTTATCACTAACCTAAAGCCTGCAAAGAGCTGTGAAGGCCTCCACACACAGTCAACCCAAACAAGTTGCAAACAGATGTAGAAAACAGTAAAATGTTGAATAAATATTGAGAGACAGGAGTCTGGACTATGATGGGAAAATGATTTCTGTTCCAAACAGTCACTAATGATATTAAAACAACTCCTCTCACTCAGAAACTGTGTAGCCTCGCAGGTGTGCGATGCTCGAAAGGCTTTTATAAACTAAGTAAATGAAAACCAGCCTTTATTAATCAATATTAGAACAGATGTAATGGAAAAAACCTGTACTATAAAGTCAGTAAACTTTAAGAATCAACTTAACAACTAACTTTCCTTACGATTCCTTTTGGTTTGTTGATTTTCTTATTAGTAACCCAATCAATGTGCTATTTAGAGCTCAGATTCTCTTCAACAATTATACCTTAAACCCGCTAACTCAACTAAATCACTAAATAAAATGTAATTATAGTTTTTTTAAATTCAGAGATTATTTGTTCCATTTAAACCATTTACTACAGAATTTACTCGTCTCAGAGGTGAATTAAAATTAGGATTAGATATAACTAATGCTTTATTTAACATTATTGAAACAAGTTGGAGAGAGACATTTATATAAATGAAAAATACTGACGGACGTATTATGGATCCCACACTGCAAACCTGGCCTGTCAGACCTGCAAACGTTATTAAAAAAAAGATCTATTGCAGAAGTAGCTTTATAATAGTAATACTACATATAACTGTATCATTGTTGAATGCTGAGGTAATCCATCCATCCATCCATCCATCCATCCATCCATCCATCCATCCATCCATCCATCCATCCATCCATCCATCCATCCATCCATCCGTCAGTCTGTCCATCCAGCCATCCATCCGTCTAATCATCAATCATCCATCCATCCATCCATCCATCCATCCATCCATCCATCCATCCATCCATCCATCCATCCATCCATCTATCCATCCATCCATCCATCCATCCATCCATCCATCCATCCATCCATCCATCTATCCATCCATCCATCCATCTTTCATCAATCCATCCATCCATCCATCCATCTATCCATCCATCTTCCATCCATCCATCCATCCATCCATCCATCCATCTATCCATCTATCCATCCATCCATCCATCCATCCATCCATCCATCCATCCATCTATCCATCCATCCATCC